TTGGGGTTTTAGGTTTAGGGTTTTAGGGTTTAGGGTTTAGGGTTTTTAGGGTGTGGGGTCTTAGGGTTTGGGGTTTTGGGGTTTTAGGGTTTAGGGTTTTAGGGTTTTTAGGGTTTGGGGTTTTAGGGTTTTTAGGGGTTTAGGGTTTAGGGTTTGGGGGTTTTAGGGTCTTTAGGGTTTTTAGGGGTTTCGGGTTTAGGGTTTAGGGCCTACGCTTTCTATGAAGGTTTGAAAATCTAAACCTTAAAGCCCTATATAAGGCTTTTTATGAAGTTTTTAACATCTAAACCCTCAGTATAAATCTTTAGCCCTAAACTCTAAACTCTTCGGGCTTCACAGGGCTCTCAAAAAGGGAAGGGGACCAGGGTTCACGGTTCTTTGAGGGCTTCGGGTTCAGGGCTTGGGGTTTAGGGTAGGGTGATCAGAAACCGGAACATCGAGCACTAAACCCTAAACCGTAACATTGATTTCAAAACCCAGGTATCCCCATGTTGGAGTTTATACATAAAGGGGCCAGGATGTGAGATCATTCGAGCTCTATATCACGTGACGGTGTGGTTCGTAAGACTCTGGGGATCACCCCTAAAGCCTAAACCCAAAGCCCTAAACCCTAAACTAAGCATGCTTAGATCGTGATGCACAAGAAGGTCAGAGAGGCGGATGACAAACGTTGGGCCTTGACATGAGTTCAAGATGGCATGATGTAGGGGGCTCAGTAAGTAGAATAGGGTTTGGGGGTAGATTATACTATAGTAATAATGAGGATCCCACAAAATAGTATAGGAAATCATTCAGGCTTCGATATTAAAGAAGCACGAAGACGCTATTGTACCTTCAGCTGTGGCAATGGTGCGAGTGGGGAGCGTGAAAAGCGGGGCACGACCAACACGAGATACAGAGCACGACCTTAAACCATGGACTTGACGAAGACCGTCATAGTCGACACCATCTGCAAAACGTTCCCCATGTCAGCACCATGAGCATCCAACCATCCTCAAGCCTACACCCAGGTCAATGGTCCTGAAACCCCTAAATCTGAACTCTGAATTCGCATACCCATCTCTAGACTCCAAACCCCCAAACCAAGACCCCACTCCTCTTTCTCACTGTCAGGTGTTGTACTCTCCCGGGCCATAAATCGGTAAGATTAATATAATTATAAGTGCCTTAATAATCAGAATGGGGATTTGGTGCATTTTGTACTAGAATTATAATGAGGAACCCCCAAAACCCTATTCGAATTATTAAGGCTCCTACATTATAAGCCTTTGTTAGAAGCCCAAAACCTGAAACGCAATTTTACGTAGAAGCCTTGAGACTCCAGAGCCCACAACTAGACACTCTGAAACCCGAAGAAACCTAAAGCCTAGAGCCCCTAAACCTTTAAACTATACCCTAATACCCTATGAACCATAAACATTTAAACTAAACCCTAAACCCTATAAGCCCTAAAACCCTAAACCGTTAAACTAACCCCTAGACCCTAAACCCTACAACCCTGAACCTTTAATCTAACCCCTAAACCCTAAAACCCTGAACCTTTAAACTGAACCCTAATTATCGCAGGAGGTGCCTCGACCACTTCGGGCTTCGAACCCGGCATGGCATTTGGCCAGCCTTAGCGGCAAGGCTTTGAGGTTTCAGAGATCGGAGTTGGAGCCTTTGGGCTTACGGTTTAGGGCTGTTTCATTGAGGGGCTTCTTGGGACTCTTGGGTGTTGGGGTTGAGGGGTTTAGGGTTTAGGGTTTAGGGTTTAGGGTTTAGGGTTTAGGGTTTAGGGTGAGGATTTGGGCATGTGGTCTCAGGCTAGGATAAAGGACTTGGACTGCAGGATTTAGAGTTTCAGGTTCGGGACTGACTTGAAGGATAGGGGGATGATGTAAAGGTTTAGGGTTTAGGATATGATGTAACGGTTTAGGGCTGAGTAAGAAGATTGTAATTACTCGGATGGTGGAACCTTAGCTGGGCTTCTGTCGTGTCCTTGTGAAACCTGCTTATGGAGTAACGCTGGTATTGATGTTTGGTGTATGGTGCTTCGAAGAACTGCCGCCAATGGCCAACACCCATTGAAATGATAGCTGAGACTCCGTTTCATGTAAGGTTCAAGGGACTGCTCATGGATAGATTGATGTTTACGCCTGTTCGGGTTCTGCGGGCTATCCTATAAAGAGGCCGGCGTCAAAAGTATCACGCGGACACATGCGTCTATAAATCAAGGCTGCATGTCATGCATGGAAACTAGATCCCGCATCGTTTGTGGCAACAAAACCTCGCAACCCAAAAAGCTCTCACATTTCCCCAGCCAGTTCTGCATTTTGTGCAAGCCCACAGCCATCAGCAGCGTCATTGGCGAGCCAAGTATACTTCGATCATTCCCCAAGCTTACATGACTAGGCTCCACTTGACTTACCTCCTAAACCGAAACCCCACACCCTAATACAGGGGGCTTAATAATCAGAATACGGTTTCGGGGTATATTTATACTAATTCATAATAAGGAGCCCCCAAAACCCTATTCCAATTATTGCGGCCCCTATATTAAACCCTGAAACACGAAGCCCGGCTTCAAAGCCCCAAAGCCCCGAAGAACAAACCCTTCCAGCGCACCCTCTGCAACCCTAAACCCTAAACCCGAAGCCCGAAGCCCTAAGCCCTAAACCCTAAACCCGAAACCCTAAACTTCTGAGCCCAAAACCCTAAACCCTAAACCCTAAACTCTCTGCAACCCAGAGGCCGGCGGTGTCTCCGGCTTGGGTCGCGCTTTTCAGCGCCTGCAGAGGTCGGGCTTAGGGCTTGTTGGGTAGGGTTTAGGGTTTAGGGCTTGTTGGGTTTATCGTTGGAGCTTCAGGGTACGCAAGACCCAAAACTTCTGAGCCCTAAACCCTAAACCCTAAACTTCTGAGCCCTGAACCCGAAACCCTGACGCTAAACCCTAAACTTCTGAGCCCAAAACCCTAAACCCCAACCCTAAACCCTAAATTTCTGAGCCCTAAACCCTAAACCCTAACCCTAAACCCTAAACTTCTGAGCCCTAACCCCTAAACCCCTAAACCCTAGACTTCTGAGCCCCAAACCCGGTAAACCCGAAGCCGTACACCCGGTAGAGCAGCCTGGAGCCTGAAGGCTGAAACTCCTGATCTGCCTTGAAGAGCTTCCGGGTTTGGGTTTCAGGGCTCCAAGGGTTCCTTACTGGTTTAGGCTTTAGGGTTTAGGCTTCCGGGTTTGGGTTTCAGAGTTTAGGGCTTAGGGT